TCCTCCATCAGATCTGAATATTTTTATGGTGGTGTTGAATTGGGTTGAATCATTTTGAGAAATTGGAGACATTTTTGATAATTTAGATTTATATTTTATAGGGAAGAGCCAACAAAACTTCAAATAGTCATCAATAAAAATTGCATAATAACAAAAACCTTGATTTGATAATATTGGGGATGGACCTCATACATCGGAATGTATAAGTTGTAGAGGTGAATACATATCTAAAGAATGAGAAGGAAATGGTTGCGTAGAGGCGAATACATATCTAAAGAATGAGAAGGAAATGGTTGCCTATGACTCTTATTACGTTTGTACCTATTACATAAAAGTGAGCTAGATTGAAAAGCAAGTGTCGGTTGAGACTTTGATATAGGGTGGAGAATCTCTGGATGAGGGTGTCCAAGGTGTTTATGCCAAAGTGTAGAGAGTTACGAGGAGGAGGTGTTCAAAGCATGATGAGCGGTTGTTGTGTTGCATTGTTGCTGGGTTATGGGGATGGAGTATTTCCCCTTAGAGTTATGACCATGAAGCAAGTTTTGGTTGGTTTGCGGGTCAAAGATAAGAAAACCATCACTATCAAAGAGAATCGCCACATTATTATCAACAATGAGTTTATGAACCGATAGAAGACTGTGAGAATGAGAGAACACATGCCATATGGAGGGAAGGCGAAGAGTGCGTGTTGCTGCATGAAGAGTACCTTCACTTATGTGTTCGGTCGCAGTAGATTGTCCATTGCCCACAAGGATTTGTTAAGAATTGTTGGCCGGAAAATCCACTTGGAGTTGATTTAGATCCACCGTAAAATATTTTGCTGCACTGGGATCTAGAACCCATGAGGATTCAACTTGTAAGTCTTTTTGGTGGGCATGTATTTAAGATTGGATCGATGCTAGCAACGGGCAACAAAATGTCCAATTTTATTGCAGATTTGACATACCATTGAAGATCGTGTGAACGTGCGGTTTGTTTCGATTGCTTAGGTGTTGATGGTCGATGTCGGCCTTTCCCACGAGAGGAGGTGTTTTGTTTTCCATGGTATGTATTCAGAGCCACTTGGGAGTTCACAATGGCCTCCGATTTTTGTTGATGATTTATCTCTTTGCTGCATAATAATGCATATAAGTCATCCAATGCATCTTGAAAGCACGATAGTTGGTTTGTAGGTCGTTTAAAGTATAGAGGATGATATCCTCATCATCTAAGCGACCACCTGCTGCTGATATATTGTCCATCAAGGCTTTGATGACTGAAAGATATTGATTTATGCATTGATTAATCACGGAAAGGTTATGAAGCTCATTTTTCAACTGAATTAGCCTCGATCTATTTGTTGGCTGGAGACGCTTGATAATAGTGTTCTTTATTTTAGTAGTGGTGGATAGATGAAGCACATAGAACGAAATCAAGGCAAAGATTATTGAGAACAATGCAACGGTTAGGTTTTGATCAATTAGGATCCAACTCGTATTGTAAGGATTGGGCATTGGAATATCATTTGTGGAGGGAAGAAAATTTTGGTTGACAAGGAATGGTACTTTGTAAGAACTCGTGAAACCATTTGCCTTGAATGCTTTGAGAATTTGAGCTCTCTATATATGATATTTATCAACAAAAAGAGGATTTTGAGTTTCAAGTTATTTAGCAGAAATTTTAGGGAAGGTGGTATAACAGTGGCTGACATTAGTGCCAAGCATAAAGAATCATTGGTTCTGAGAAAGGGGATGTCGCCATCGACTGTTGAAGAGAGATGTTTTGGAATGAGGGTCAAGATTATTGGGAGAAGATGAAATAAGCAATGAGCTCTTACTCATTGATATGATTGATTATCGGTCTCTGGAAGATTGAGCCGCAATCTTGTTTTATTTTCATTGGCGGCTTCTCTTACAGGAGGCAAGGATTCCTCTGTAGAATGTTAGAATCAATTCCCGGGCATCGACTCCGATACCACAATGCCGAAGGTATACAAATAGAGAGGAATATAAATTGCATTCATAAAAAATCATTACAATAGTTATCTAGGTTATATAAAATTCTGGTAGTATACTCTAGCATCTAATATTATCTAATTACACCATAGCCCTCAGTTGGTTATATGTCATGTGCCCTCCACCTTGATGTTGTCAAACCCAATTATGAGGCAACATATATTTGGTTATGGCTATGACCAACATTCAAAAATATTGTAGACAAGTTTGAAATTTAATATCTCTACCACTTAGTTTGAGAGAGAGTATTGAAGTTCACTCTCTTCTCTGCAGCGGGGCCCATTTATTCTCCTATCATATTGAGGAATTTAAGGCACATGAAAATGTCTTGTACTTTTTGATTAATTTCTCTATTACCCTCAGATTGCAATTAGTGTGCTTCTCTATGGGATCGTAATCCCCTTCTTATTTTTTCACATTTTTCTTTGATTTCTATTTTGTAACGCTTCTTCAAGATATATGTATACCTCCTTCATATACAAAGAATAATGAAAATGTTGAGAGTTTTCTTTATTATCTTATTTTATTGCAAACATGGCAAAATGGGACACACCATGATGCATGATGTGTCACACTCTCCACACCATCTTTATGGCACCGTGCAATGCAATAAAGTGATGTGTGTTATTTTACATTATGTATGAGCAATGGCGTAACGTGCAGTGCCCTAATGGTGTGTACTAAATTAACTATTATGCTTTAATAATAGTAACAACAACAACAACAATAATAATACTAGTAATATTAGTCTCTTTAGGACATAAGTTGACTCCTTTAGTATCTACTCTTGCTTACGTGAGACCCTGTGAATGAACGCACTAGGAAGCTCTCCATTCTAATGAGCTTTGCTCTCCCTTGCTCACACAACATCCCACGATTATCGCTCGCACATCTCTATGACTTTGACTTACGTGATATCCCAACAAAACTCGCTCGTATGACATTTGAGCGCTTCTCGTGAGCACTATGTTTAGTGCCGCTCGCTTGCTTAGCATCTCAAAGAACTCCATCTGAGCCATCCCATTGCATCTTGCTAACACATTATCTCGACGCTGCATTCTCTTGCACTGTTTTAGTGTTGAAATTTTCTTGCTCACTTCTGTGGCATCCCAGTGCCATAGGCTGCTCGCTCGCACGACATATCAAGTAGCTTTATGGTTGGTGTAAGCCCAAAGATCGCCACCCTTGAGTGTTACCAATAGTAATATATTTATTATAGTTCTACAATAAGGTTTTTTTCATTATTTCACTATTTGTAATATTTTTTTTTTTGGCTAATTTTAAGTTTTTTATTTCATTGAGAATGGAGCATCACATTTGGGTTAGTTTAGAATCATATCATAAATTTATTTAGAAAATTTTGCTAGAATAAAAACACAATTTGATCAATCTTTCTTAATATATAATTGTTTCAAACATAATTTACTTTGAACCAAATAAAATTATATTTGCCTTGTAAAATTCATTTTAGCTCTTCCGCTTGAAATACATTATTTTATTCAATTCACTAAGTGATGGGTGATTTGCCACTCATTTGGTAGATTGATCTCATTTTTTTATAATTTTTTTAGGTTAATTATATATTTATTGCAGTTAGCTACTTAAGGGAATGTTTGAGTAAATTCGATTAGCAAAAAGAGAATCAACCAGAAAATATGCAATCTTGACAAATGATAACAATTGTGTGACGCGCACTTAAGGGAATGTTTCGATTAGCAAAAAGAGAATCAACCAGAAAATGTGCAATCTTGACAAATGATAACAATTGTGTGACGCGTTTTTTGTGGTACAATAACAAAAGGAGGAATTACTCATTACTGTGGCGTGGTGGGATGCTTCAAGAATGCAAAAGCTTATAACAGGCATTGGAAATTACAGGCTTTAAGAAAGAATTGAGTTGAAATATCAAATTAATGAAATACCTTACAATAAATTTAATGAAGTTGATGATTGTTATATGGTGATTGGTGATGCTATTTTGTGTTGGCCTCTCTCAACAATAAAAAAAGATATTAATATCAAAATTAAAAGTCTTTTGTCAAAGTTCGGCCATTGGATGTATTTTTGAAGGTTAAATGACCGTTCGTTGCATTCTTTACCCCAAATCCTATTGAGATGGTGAAGCAACAAAAGGGTAAAATAAAAAAGAGATGGATGCTATTAGGAAGGAAATGGGAGAAAGACCAGTCTAAGTATTTTATCATTGAATATGTGATGCTACTATTCTGTTCAGTGTTGTTAAATGTGAGAGATTCTCAATAGTGGAAGCATTTAGACAATTTGATCCTTGGAAGAAACTAACTACTTAACATGAGATGAGAGTTCCATGTTGGAGAAAAGAGGTAGGACACATGCAACAATTGTTGCAACATCATAAAGAAGGTTGCTTTAAATATGGTTATTCTTTTATGGGGATTTTTGGACAACTCGTAATGGAATAAGTTTGGTGAACATTTTGTGAAATTTTACTAGAGGAACCACATTCATACATTTTGTTGACGCTAGTTCTTATTCAAAGATTACATTGAAAATGTCTGAATTGTTAATCAAGTTCATCAAGGAGATTAGATCACATTATATTATTCTAGTTATCATTGATTATGCTTCTGAAAATAGTCTTGCTGGTTTGTTACTAAATTATTAGGTAGTATTTTATCAAAGAAAAAAAACCTTAATATGGCTTGTGAAAATAAACCACATCTTATGATGGCTTAATTTCATATACATCTAATATATAATCTTGGCATCTCGTTACTTTGTACTAGTATTTCTATTTCCTTTTTGTGTAAAAATGTAAGGCTGCTTTCATAATGGTCATTTAAATTATTAGTAATTATATAAACGTGACACATTATGACAACATTTTTGGTACAAGTGGAAGGCACCGGCCTACTTCTTGCTCGCTTGTGAATAGCATATAACCTACTCTAACGTGCTGCCTGCTTGTTTTATTTTATTTTTTTTGCTGTCATCTAGAAATCAATAGAAAGATTGCTAATTTTGCAGAGTTGGGCACCATAAGATCTTCGTGCTCTCTCAATGAAGAGCTTCTTATTGTCTTCCCTGTTATCAACCTTTTATCATCTCCGTCAAAGTCTATTAAGTCAGCGGTCACTCATTTGCTTTCACTAGCTGAAAGATTTGTTTTAAATTTCATGGGTGTTTTCAATAAAGCAGAAGTTTCTGGCGCTGACTTCCCAGATCTGATTGAAATTGAGTCGATTCCTCTGAGGCTTCTTCATCATCTTTTCATTCAGGTGACAGAATATTTGTTTTAGTTTTATTTTATGGGTGCTTACTTTTTGTTAAATTTTTAATACAATTCAAGTGAATGCTTTCGTTCATATTTTGGGACAAAAGGATGTGACATACTTTTTGGGGGATATTTATTTAAATGTTATATTAGTTGTTTCCGACAATTCATCTGTTAAAATGCTTCTTAGATCTTGAATTACCAAAAATCTTGAAAATTTTTCCCTTCTAATTAGATTACTTGTTGTAATACCCGCAGTTTTTTCTAGTTCCTCTGTTCTCTTTTTAGTAATGTAGGCATGACTTTTGAGGATAGCAACTAACGTTCTTTGTAGATCATTCAAGCTGAATTTATTCTTTTTGATTATTTAACAAATGCAAAAAGTCTACTCCAGCAATTGTTTTGTTTCAACATGATTTATTTGTTCTTGGATTTTCTTGGGACCCATTTCACATTACTTTGAATTTTTTTTTTTATTTTTATTTTTAATTTTTATTTTTTCTTTTTTTTTAATATATTTTGTTGTTATAGTTTTTACATGCTTTTATTTTAAATAACAAATCAACTTATTTTTAAAAGATACTCAAAACACCTAAAAAATATTTTGAGTGTTTTTAGAACAAATTAGTTCAATCAAGTGTGTTTTAGTTTAAATCAAAACAAAACAACAACAAGCCTTAATCCCACTAAGTGTGGTCGGCTCCATGAATTGTTTTCCTCCATTGTCTTATTTAGTGTCATATTTTTATTTAATTCTAATAAATTATGTTCATTTTTTATACAACAAGCCCAAGTCTTTTAAGGTCTACCTCTACCTTTCTTAACACAAGTTGAATCTAAAACATTTACTCTTCTAGCTGGATCCTCAGGTGGTCGGCATTTAATGTGGCCAAACCATCTAAGATGAATCTCTCTAATCTTGTCAGCCACTGGAGCTACATGAAACCTTTTACGGATACATTCATTTTGCATTTTGTTTAAGTGTCAAACCACTCATTCACCTAAACATTCTCATCTCAGCAACACTTAACTTAGTTTTATGCTTCTCTTTTATAGGCCAAAATTTTGTGCCATAAAGCATTGCAGGTACCACCACCATCTTGTAAAATTTTCCTGTAAGTTTAAAAGATACTTCTCTATCACACAATAGGCTCGATGCATTCCTCCACTTCAACCATCCAACTTAAGTTTTACTGAAACATCCCCATCTATATCAACATCACTTTGAACAATAGACCCAAGATATCTAAAACGTTCTCTCATTTTAATGATTTGATCCGCCACTATTACAACTCTGCTGCTAGATCTACTACTACCAAAATTACATTTTAATGTATTTAATTTTTGATCTACTCAAACGAAGGCTTTTAGACTTTATTGTAGGCCTCCATAATTCAAGTTTTTCCTGAACTATTTTTCTAGTCTTATCCACAAGAATGTTATCATCAATAAAAAATATACACTAAGGTACATCCTCTTATAAATGTCCAGTAAGAGCATTCATAACTAAAGCAAAAATATATGACCTTAAAGCCTCCGTGATGTAATCTAATTGAGATAGGAAAATACTTGGTGAATCCTCCTTCTGTTCGAACACAACAAATCTAGTATACATATCTTTAATGAATTGAATATAAGTCATATCAACACCATTCTTTTATATAACTCTCCAAAGAACTTCTCTTTGAACCTTGTCATAACTTTTTCTTAATCAATAAAAATCATAAGCAGATCCTCCTTACGCTCTTGGTGCTTCTCCATTCAATAAATGTATAGTTCCCATAGTAGACTTGCTCAACATAAATTCAAACTAATTTTGAGAAATCTTTGTATCATGCCTTAACCTATATTGAATTACTCTATCCCATAATTTTAATGTATGATATATTAACTTAATTTTTCTATAATTTACACTCTTGTGCATCCCCTTTATTCTTAAAAATGGAGATCAAAGCACTCTTTCTCTGCCCTTCAGATATTTTTCTTGTTTTTAAAATAATATTCAAAGTTAAGTATGCCAAGAAACTCCCAAATCTCTTAAATATTTCGAAACTTCAATTGGGGTACCACTAAGTATCTTCTGATTTTTCACCCTTTGTTTTCTTTAAAGTCTTCTCAGTTTTCTTTTTACTAATGCGACAATAAAAATAAAAAGTTTAATTATTATTAACGGTATTAATATCAATAAGATTGTTCGTATTTTGAAAAACTTCATTGAAAAGTTTATCAAACTATCTCACCTACCTATATTAAATATTTTCCTCTACTAAAATACTTTTTAATTTTCATCTTTAATGCACTCGTTAAATATTTATTTTTCTTTTCTCATTGTTTGACTAGCTTATACACATAACTTTCTCCCTCTTTATTATCTAATATATTGTAAAAACCACTAAAAACAGGATTTTCAGTATCACAAATTGTTCTTTTCAACTCTCAATGAGCCACCTTATTTTTTTCCTTGTTCTCTAAGCTTTTACATTTCAACCAATTTTTATATAAAACTTTTATATTATTTTTTCTTGCACATTATTATTCCAACACCAATTATTTTTATTTATAAAACTTTTACTTTTGATTTTACAAGTACAAATTTTTCCCCTTATTTAATAATGTTTGTTACTTTTCATACATATAATTAGTTTCTTCATAAACTTCTCGAATTCTAAAATCTCGAGGTTTACTCATAAAATGATTTTATTGGTATCTTTTATGTTCCCCCATCTAATTCTATGACAACTTTTCATTATATATATTTTTTATCTTCTGACTCATCTTACAATCCAGAACTAATAATTGATGTTGAGTACTTAAATTTTCACTTGGGACCTTACAATTTTTACATTCTTAACAATCTCTTTTAAAAAAAAAGATACAACAACAACAAAGTCTTAATCCCGCTACGTGAGGTCGGCTACATGAATCCTTATTCTCCATTGCGTCCTATTTAGTGTCATATAAAATCATGTCATGATTTTTTTGACAAGTTTTAAGCTGGTTGTCGACTACCTAACGCAACCCTCCACTTTTCACATCCGGGTTTGGGACCGACAATGCCTGTTTTACTGTTTTAAAAACACTGTATCTATTTATGTTTTACGTCCGGGCTTGGGTCGGCTACAAGTTTTACGTTAATCTTTTAAAAAAAATAAAAAAAATAAAAAATAAAAAATACAGTGATCATAAATGCCCCCTTAGAATTTAAACTAGTATCTATGTATTTATTAGATTAACGTAATTGTTTTTCTTGATTTTTTTCTTTCCTAAACTGAAGAAGAAATTTCATTTTTCTTGGGCAGAATTACTTTTTTGCATTCAATTTTGTGATATTAAATCAATTTTTTGGAACTTTCTATGGTCTCTGAGGAATAAGTGGGCATTTTACATTAGCTCTTCCTCAGTAGTACAATTATAAGTAGTCAAATGTGAAAAAAGCAATTTTCTTTCCACTCACTCTCCTTTTTCGTTTACATTTAGTTCATTGATAGCAACATCTTGTGTTAACGAGCTTTGTCATTTGTGAGTGGTCACAGTAGTAAGCTTGTTGCTCAAAGGGTGAGTTGGGGCAATACCACATGGGAATGCGAGTTAATTGGTGGGGTGAGCTTTTCTCTCTTTAGCTAATATTGGAGCAGTTAGAGCATGATTGTTTTTCATGGCTAACTCTGTTAGCAATCTTACAGGTTGCTTGAGCCATTATTTTAAAATGGATGTATTTTCATTAAAAAAATAAAATTCAAACAAAAGTGTGCTGCAAAGCTGAATCCAGTATGAAAGTCAGCTTTATTAAAAAAATGGACCTCTTTTAAGATCAACAATTTGTCTCATGAACCAACTTAAACCTTTAATAGGTGCTAGGTACCATGGTGGATACAAGAACAACAACAACATCAAATGCAAGCCTATATCCCACTAAGTAGGACCAGCTACATGAATTCTTTTTCTCCATTGTGTCATATTGAGTATCTTATTTTCATTTATTAATTATAAATTAAGCTTTTTTTTAATTCAACGTGCCCACATCTTTTTAGGTCTAATGCTACCTTAGTTAAATCTAAAACATCTACTCTCCTAATAGAGTCATCAGATGATCGACATTTAATGTGACCAAATCATCTAAGACGACAATCTCTAATCTTGTCTGTCACTGAAGCTACTCTAACCCTTTCTGAGCTAGGTACTGTGGTGGATGCTTTTGAGAAATGTGGGCCAACATGACACCTCATCTCTATACTTTAATCATAATTTTTCTTCTTAGTCTTACCCATGCGTTTAATCTAGCCATTACTAAAGTACTTGTTGCTCCTTTCCATTTTTATATGCCTTTTTCATTTGGTTAGCTATTTGTATTTAGTTTTGAGAATTTTGATTCGTTATTGATGAATTGATTGGATCCTTTTGTAACGTATAATGCTTTTCTAGTATCTTTGTTGTGAACAAAGAATATCATTAGGATGTTGTTAAATCCATAGTGTTGTTCTCGATTTGAAATGGTATGACCTATAGAGCAGCACAGATTTACTCTAGAAAAGATTGAAAGTTCCACTACTTTATGATCCTTGAAGGATAATGTGGATAGGGGCATGGTTCAATGGAACCCGAATAGATAAATAGAAAACAATCTTCGTACTTCTATTGTTCTACAAATAAACTGTGATGCCGCTTTTCATTTCCCTGAGGAAGTTGAAGTGAGGGAGGGGAAGCAGACAAGCAGGGAACATGAAAAGGGAACTTTCATGTTATAAAGTGACGTCAATGAAGGGAGGCGAAAGCAAGATTGAGAGCGGGAGAAGGAGAAGTGGAGTGGTATCTTACTAGCGATTCAGTTCTCATTTAGATGTTAAGGGCTCTGTTGTGAAGGAGGACGTGCATCTAGGGCATCGACTAAGTGAAGGCGTCAATGCCTAGTGTGGGTACCATGAAGATGCGTGAGGAAGAAGAAGCTGGCCTTACCCTAGCCGCGACATGCGACATCAACGTCACTGCGAGGGAGAAGCTTTGATA